AACAACTCCTGGGTCAATATGGAAATCAAAACGGAGATTAAAAGATACCTGGAAACAAATGAAAAGGAAGAAACATCTTGCCAAAACCTGTGGGATGCCATGAAAACAGTACCAAGAGGGGAATTTATATCTCTATGAACACCCATGAAGAAAATGGAAAGATCACAAGTTGACAGCCTAACAAATCACCTAAGGAAGCTTGAAAAGCAAGACCACCAAAACCGTAACTTCAGCAGAAGAATCCAGATCACCAAAATCATTTTTAAGTGTAAAGTTTAGTGACAGTAAATACACTCAAGTTATTGTGCAACTGTCACCACTACCCACCTTCAGAACTTTTTCATCTTCCCAAACTGAAAATTTACTCATTAATTAACTCCCAAACTCCTCTCACCCTGCCCCTAGAAACCACCTCCACTTTCTGTGTCCATGAATTTTACTACTTTAGGTACTTGATATAGGTAGACTTACATATATTCTTTTGCAACTGGCATAAATTATTTCAATTAGTATGACGTCTTTAAGGTTCACTCATGTTCTAGTATATGTCAGAATTTCATTCCCTTTTAAGACTGAATAATATTCTATTGTATGTGTATACAATACATGTGTATAGATACATTTTGTTTATCCATTTATCGTTGAGAGACATTTGGATTGTTTCTACCTTTTGGTTACTGTGAATAATGCTACTATGGACATGAGTGTACAAATATCTGTTTGAGTCCCTGCTTTCAATTATTTTGGGTATAGACTCAGAAGTAGAATTGCAGACTTATATGGTAATTCTATGTTTATGTCTTTGAGGAGATACCATACCGTATATTTGTTTTAAGTGTCAACTAGACTGGTGAATGTTACTTGGTTTTCAAATTCAACAGAAGACTCTTGTTTGGCATAGGCTGAGTTCCAAGGCAAGTTTGAAATTAGTACCTTTGTTAATAGGTTAGTGACATCTAGCTACCATGAATATGGGTCTACTCCAGCACACTGAGCTTATTTTGACATAGGCTTTACTACAGTGTGTCTTTATAGACAAGTCTATGCATACACCTTCATTACAAACCACATTCTTTAGCTTACTTGCTGACTATGAAAATAATTAATAGCTTCTGCTTCATTGCCTACTTCCTTAGCTAGGCATCTTATTTTAATAACCACTTACAATCTCCTTAATTCCTTAAACACTTTCAACCTGAATATATTGCTGAGTGACATCTCCTTTTTTATAGTCAGCCTTGTTGCTAAGTGCCATTAGAAAACCTTAGTAAATATTAGTCCTCTGAATGTGAGAACTAATACAATTACTTACGAGAGCTTAAACAAAGAACTCTGTCTGTTTTGCTTTCATAAAACATAGTTGAACACTTTGTCTAAAGTCCAGTTATATATGTTCAGCCAAATGTTTTTCCTCAGGTTTACATGATTATCATTTAGAGTATCTTTACACATGGTGGGGTCTCTGGAAATGGAAATATTAAATTCCTGAGATAGGTTTCATATAACTTGGTAAACTTTACTAAAATTTGTTAGCAAGTTATTTATTTTTTCATCCTTTACCTTAGGCAAAGCCAAGACAAACAATTTGATAAAAGATACACTATAGGAATAGAAGAGTAGTAGAAAAACACATTTTTAAGCCTCTGTGGAAAAAGCTATCACCATATCTTCTGAGAAAAAGACAAATGAAAATCCATGAAAAAATGATTATTAATAGATTGTCAAAATTCATAATTAGAAATGAGTGTCTATCATTGTACATTTAAAGCATGCTTATCATTTTTTTCTCAGAGAAACTAAAAGATATTCAAGCCCTTACTTCAATGTGTAATTGGAGTAGGGCTGGCTATGCTTGCTTCTGGTAAATAAAACTTTTTTGTGGCAATTATAGCAGGTGTACTCATGTATGTTGATCACTATAAATGTATGATCTATTGCAGAGTTAGAAACAAATTAATAGGACAAGATAATATTTGTTAAGTAGATGTTTAGTAGATAAAAATAATTTCAAGATATTTGTTGTTATATAGAGTTCTCAAAATTTCCTCTTGAAATAGCTCATTAGTTTTATTAGTGGGCAATAGTCTGAAAATTAGATGATTTCAGAGGAAGAAAGAACTTTTGAGAAAGTTGTATATATTTCCCACGATGTATAGGGGGCTAAGAAGTGGCAGAGAGACTAGGAGTGGGCTTCTCAATTTTTAAACCAATGTCCTTTTTTCCTCTAAACATTCTCTCTCTGTTTTAGCATCACTAATATGAAAATAATTGAGGTGTTTTGTTTTTCTGAAAGATTCATTTTTGTTTTTCTGAATACTGTACTCTGTTCCTGCGGCTGTAAAAAAATACCTTACACTAGGTAATTTATAAATAATAAGTATTTATTTCTCACAGTTCTGGAGGCTGAGAAGTCCACAATCAAGGTGTTGGCAGATTTGGTGTCTGGTCAGGGCTCTTTCTCTGCTTCATAAATGGTGCTTTGTTGTTGTGGCCTCATGGCAGAAGGGCAAGCAGTTTCCCTTGACGTTTTGCCCCCTGCCCAAGGGCACAAATTCTATTTACGAGGGTGACGCCCTCATGACTTACTTCCTAAAGGCTCCACGTCTTAATACTATCAAACTGGGGGTTATGTTCCAACATATGAAAGTGCAGAATGGAAGAGCTACAATGCACTTTGAAAAGAATAATTTAAGAGGTGCAATCAATGAACATATTCATTCATTTATAAATATTTATTGAACACCAAAATATTTGGATCTGTGTAATACATTGGGGGTAGAATGCTGTTCAAAAAGACACGGTACCTGCTCCCTTCAAAACTTAAAGACTAATGGGGAGAAAAATTAATAAATGAATTATGTTTATTCATATATAATTACAAATTGGGTCAATTCTCTGAGGACTGGAGCATAGTTCATTGCAAGTGTTTGACAAAGGAAGTTGATAAGGCTTGGATAGCAAGGATGATTTCCCCAAGGAAGTGATATGTACTCTGGTGTCCGAAAGATGAATTGGATTTAGCTAGATGAAGAGAGAGTGTATGAAGGTAAGATAGGAAAAATAAGACGTGAGATGCTAACCCTTGAATTAGTTAAGGAAAAGTGTCAGGTACCATGGGCTGAGAAGGAGATGTTTTTTGTGTTGCTTCAAAAAGTGAACAAAAGTTGAGCATGCTTATAATCTGCAAAGAAAGACCCAGTAGAGAGTGAGAGGTTGAACATCTAGGAGAGATGGAGAGAAATAATTGGAACAGGTTCTTGAAGAAGGAGGTGGAGGTTGGGGGAAGCATGTGATTATGAAACAGTTAGAGAATTAATAGTGAGGAGGAGGAAACATAACTCTTCTTCTCAGAATGGATACAGAAAAGAAGATGGTTGAGAATTCTCTAAGGCAAGACTATCTGCTAAAGAGGAGGAGTTACACTGGGAACTTGTAACGGATGCTAACTGAATACATGGGGGAGAATATCAAAGACAGGATTTTAAAAATAACTTTCTAATTAAAAAAAGAAGTAATATGAAGGCAGAATATCACAGCTATACAATAATTGAATTGAACATTAATAGAATAATCTTTCTTCAAAACAGCAGATAGCAAAAATTTTCCCTTTAACTTTCATTTCAATTCTGGTGTTATTGAAATGATCACAACAAACCATTTGTTTATTGGATATTGCATTCATGTAGTACAATTTAAACCATTAACATTATGGGAGCAAATGATGGAATAATAAATAGACCATAAAATAAAATTGTTTGCACAGTGATTTATGTCCTATAGGACTAATCTACTTTGTAATTTTTCTAGTATCCTTATTGATACAACCTGAGTCAGTGACCAGCATATACTACTACATGAAATATGCTTAATGAAACTATAATAACTCAACATTGACGTTACCAAAGCATTACATTCAAATAATGCAGTTATAAATCAGGAACATAGTGAAATGTGCTCGATATAAAATGAGCTCAAATAATGTACAAAAAAGAAAGAGGACGTAAATTTCAGAGTGATGAGATCTGATAGAATATTCACAAGGTAATGCACATAGATGGAAAGAACAGAAAAATCGTTACTTCTATTCCTTAGTAACCTCTGTTCAGCTAAGAAAGAACAGCTAAATGTCCTCACTAAGCCCGATTGTTTTATTTATTTATTTATTTTCGATTCCCATTTATTTTTGGCTCTTGGGCAATGTCATCTTTTCAATATGAAAAAAAGCAACAAGTTCAACACAAAATAGAAATCCGAAGTGTAGGAAAGGACAAAACCAAGGGTGGGTGGGGGGAAGGCAACAGCAAAAGAGATGAGATATGCAAAAAAAGGTGGAGGGTGTCTTGTCCTCTCTCCTCTGGGGAATGACTAACATTCAAGTGGCAGTGTTCACCTTTCCACGTTAGGTCAATGATGTTATTCATTTTGGGGGGTAAGAAACTGTCAATGGGGAGGGCATTTCTGGAGGCTTAGGGACCAAGGGGTGGTCCCTCTTAATCCCCTTCTCTCCAACCAAGGCAAAAGAGAAATTCTAGTATGTGAGGGAAGGATCTTGCTTTCTTCAAAGAGTGATGCAGACCCCTCCTCTGACAGAGCTTGGAGGAAGACTGAAAATGGAGATAATACTTGGTAACACCTCCCTTGAGGCTGAGGAATGGAACATAAAAATATCTGGAAAATATAACTTGAATAGCCTGGATTTCCCTCTCCCGAACTGTCCTAGAATGGAAGATTTCATCTCATTCCTTATAGTGACTTCTACTTGCTACCTTCTGCTTTCCACACCTTTGCTACTCCTAGGCTTAGAATGGTGGCCATTATCTGGGTTTTTGGCATTGGAGTAGTTCTAAATGGGATCTGGATGAGACCCAACTTCTTGGAGAATTATTTTTGAAGTGGGAAAATGTTAACTGGACAGATGGGAGTAGGCACCAGAAGGAAATACAAGGTTACTGAGAATGGCAGAAATCTAGAATTCCCAAAGTGGAAAGAGAGAGGAGACATTCAACAAACAAATATTTATTGAGCGCCTATTATGTGGCCAGGCATTGTTCTAGACCTCTCTCCCCCAGGGGAAAAAAAAAGAGGCAGCAAACACAAATTCTGAGGGAGAGGAAAGGGGCAGATGAGGAAGAAGGCTAAGGGAACTGAGAAGCCTGAGGTGATGGGGGCTCTGCCTTAGGCCTCCTCTTCCACCTCCTCACTGAAATCTTCCTCTTCTTCTGCGGTGGCATCCTGGTACTGCTGATACTCAGAGACGAGGTCGTTCATGTTGCTCTCAGCCTCAGTGAACTCCATCTCGTCCATGCCCTCACCTGTGTACCAGTGGAGGAAGGCCTTCCGGCGGAACATTGCAGTGAACTGCTCAGAGATACGCTTGAAGAGCTCCTGGATGGCTGTGTTGCTGCCGATGAAAGTGACTGCCATCTTGAGGCCATGAGGCGGGATATCGCATACAGCGGGATATCTTGACATTGTTGGGGATCCATTCCACAAAGTAGCTGCTATTCTTGTTCTGCACATTGAGCATCTGCTCATCTACCTCCTTCATGGACATCCGTCCATGAAACACAGCAGCCATGGTGAGGTACCGGCCATGGTGGGGGTCACAGGCAGCCATCATGTTCTTGGCATCGAAGACCTGCTGGGTGAGTTCAGGTACTGTGAGAGCCGGATACTGCTGGCTTCCACAACTGGTGAGAGGGGCAGAGCCAGGCATGAAGAAGTTGAGACATGGGAAGGGTACCATGTTGACTGCCAGCTTGCGGAGGTCAGCATTGAGCTGGCCAGGGAAGCAAAGGCAGGTGGTGACACCACTCATGGTGGCTGAGACGAGGTGGTTTAGAGCCCCGTAGGTTGGTGTGGTCAGCTTGAGGGTGTGGAAGCAGATGTCATAGAGGGCCTCGTTGTCAATGCAGTAGGTCTCATCAGTGTTCTCTACCAACTGATGGACTGAGGGTGGCGTTGTAGGGCTCAACCACAGTGTCTGACATTTTGGGTGAGGGTACCACACTGAAGGTGTTCATGATGTGGTCAGGATACTCTTCTCGAATCTTGCATATAATAAGAAGCTGCTAGTTACCTATATGACTAGGCAGACAGAATGTATTTTTTCTTCTTCAGAGAAGAGTCACTTGAGTGCCCCACTCGGTTCTGAAATGCAAGGTAAGTGGGTACCAATGGCCCTGGAAAAATGGTGTGATGAAACTTTTAGTGGCTTCAATAGTTTCTTCTCTTTAGATCTAATTGTCTGCTGACAGAGCTGGCTTTAGGGCTTGATACCAGCACAGTCACATAGAATTTCTCCTCAAAAGGGTCCAGGAGTGGCTGTTGTGCAATTCTTTTTTTTTGAGTTGGAGTCTCACTCTGTCGCCCAGACTGGAGTGCAGTGGCCGCTCCCGGCCACCGCAGCCTCGACCTGCTGGGCTCCGGCGATCCTTCCGCCTCAGCCTTCCAAGTAGCCGGAATTACAGGCATGCACTAGCACGCCTGGCTGATTTTTTGATTTATTGTAGAGATGAGGTCTTGCCAAGTTGCCCAGGCGGGTCTCGAACCCGCGGACTCAGGCAATTCACTCACCTCATCCTCCCAAAGGCGCGGGATTACAGGCTGAGCCACCGAGCCTGGTTTGTGCAATTCTTAATAATTTTATTTTAGAATTTATATTTTGTAAGTGAAGTCCGATGGAACAATGGAGCATGTGCCAGGGGCTTGAATTTTTAGCTCCCTTCTGGTTCCTTCTCCTACCATGTCCCCAGGATGGGTTCTTGGCGGCCTCCTCCCTACTCCTTCACACCCTGGCCTCACCCTGCCCCCTCCTCCCTGCTTGCATCCCATGGCTATTTCAGGTGGCAGCCTCGAGGGTGTTAGAGAGTGAGGTGGGTGGCATTCTGCCATTGCCCTTTGTTCCTAATGGTGGCCTGGGCACAAACATGGGAGGCTCAAGGTCGATATGTGCCCAACAGCATCTCGGGGTGAGACAAGGTGGTGCTGCCCCTGTCCTGGGCTGCAACTCCATGGTGCGTTTGGCAGTGAGTTGGCAAGTGACAGTCTTTGGTCCACTCCGTGCAGGTTCTGAATGCATCCTGGTATAGAGGTTTTAGACCGTGGTGTTTGCCCATCCACCATGGATTGGGACAGTGGGACCATGGGACCGTGGGAAGGGGAGATTGACCTCTCTGCCCCTGGCTGAGGCATGACATGTTAGTCTGGTGGGGAGAGGTGGATCCCAGTGGCTAGTAGGCCACATGTGCAGAGTCACAGGCAGGCCTCTGGGAACCTGTGATGGTCTGCACTCACCCTATAAGTATCCCCACACATGAGGGAGCAAATAAAAATCACCATGGTACATGGAAAGAGTGGAACCGTGGAAGTTTTATATTGAAGTACTTTTACTGACACGTTTCCCCTGCTTTTTGAACAAAATGTCATGCATTTTTATTTGTACTAGGCCTCACAAATTATGTAGCTGCCTTCAGTCCTGGGTGGTTGGGTGCCAATGAGCCTCCTGGGAGCAAGGGCCCTGGAGACCCCTCTGATGGACAAAAGTGTCCTTGACTGACATCTGGTGCAGGTGAAAACCACAGATTCACATAGTACACTTGTTGCTCCTGGGTAGCCATCAGGGCCTAGAAAAGTCACCACAAATTCAACTGGCAGGTAACAGCCAACATCAGAGGCTGTGGAGAGGAGGGGCTTGCAGCGAAGTGCTTGCTTTGTGCAATCTGATACCTAGGAGGTGAAAGATGATACCTGTAACTCAGCTCCAGATGGTGTTGCTGTGTCAGATACACACTCAGTACTGCAATATTATACAAGAAAAACTGAAAATTCAGCTTGCTTTTGTGAAAATTCTTACGTGAATTTTCAAACACAGTGTGGATACACAAAACATATCCAGGAGACTTATTTGAACTGGGGGCCCCTGGTTTGCTGGTCATAAGACGGACTGGATCTGGCAAACTGGGTAGCTAAGGCTGTAAATCCCTCTAGACTCAGCCACCTTGGCCTTTTTCATGCTTTGAAAAAAAATCGCTGAACATCTGAGTAGGAGATTAAAGAGCTTGAATTTACACTCATGTGGGCCTGAAATGGGAAAGGATTTTGTGGCAAGACATGCAGCCATCTGACTGTGAATACACATCAGGTTTTCAACAGCGACATCTCGTGGCAGTAAAGGAAACAGCCACTGCGCTGGGCCAAGGTGGCGTTCTTGCTTTCTCAATTAGCAAGGCATGTAGAATAAGCCTCTGGGCTTAGAGTGGGGAAGGGTAGGTTTCAGGAGAGCGATAATGGACTTTCTTTTAACACAGGCGAGTGTGAGAGACAGTCAGTGGAAAAATATAAAATGTGATCAAACATGCTTTCCAGGTTTGTTATGTGGGCCATGCTAGTTACATTACTACTGAATTGTTTTGATTAAAAGTCACAGATGTTATGAATACAGGGGGGAAAAGTCACATATGTTAAAATAGAAGACTTCCATTTAAGTTATTCGCTGATTCATGGAAATTCAATAGGAATATTTTGGAAGAACTTATAATTAATATCTTTTTTAGTCAACGTTTTATGACTTTATAGCCCGATAGACTTATAATATTGTTCAATATATGTTACACTTAATCTTAGCCAAAAGGCTGACAAATGATGTGTTCAATATATTTTATTTATTTATTTTGAGTTGGAGCTTCACTCTGTTGCCCTGCTGGGCTCCCGCGATCTTTCCGCCTCAGCCTTCCAAGTAGCTGGAACTCCAGGCGCGTGCCACCACGCCCTGCTAATTTTTGATTTATTGAGAGATGAGGTCTAGCCAAGTTGCCTGGGTGGGTCTTGAACCCTCGGGTTCAGGCAGTCCACTTGCCTCAGCCTCCCAAAGTGCTGTGATTACAGGGTGCGCCACCAAGCCCGGCCTATTTTTAATTTCAAAGATGTGGAGTCCAATTTATGGTTAGGTATGTAAGTGGTCATTGTACAGGTAAAGTTTGGGTCTCCCTTTGGTCCCTGCTTTGCCTGGTTTGAGCTTGGGTACCCTTATTGATGTTATGTGCTCCCTGTAGTGTCTTGCCACTGGAAATCCCGTTCTTATAGTATTATGATAAATGTTTAGGGTCCGCTTATGAGTGAGGACATGTGGCATTCAGATCTTTGTTTCTGTGATAGATCACTATGTTCAATATATATTAAGCAATAAATAGTTATTGATTCTATATGGTTATAGACTAATTATGTGTATCAGGTATCTTATTTAGAGTTTAAATTCATCGTAATATTTCTTGAGTTTTAACTTGAGGGACTGCAAAGAAATAAAAAACAAATATACCTTATTATTATTTTACTGAACAAATATGTGTTGGGTATGTGCCATGTACCAGGTTAGATACTGGGATCCAATAGCAAATAAGAGGTTTATGCTTGTTGTTTTCACGGAGCTTATTTACTGTGGTGAGGGGTTTTAGACAAACCCTTCACACAGATAATCACATCAAATGTGCTAAGTGGTCTGAAGGAGAAGCATCAAATGTTGTGAGACGATAATGTGAGGATATAACCTGGTACCTGAGAAAGAGCTATTTAAACTGAGACATGAAGGATGAGTAGGAGATCTATGAGAAATAAAAATATTTCAGACAGAGGGAACAGCACAATGGATTGTTAAATATGAGAAACTGGAAGCAGATTTGGGGACCAAAATTCAGCCCTCAGAGGTGATCTGTGGTCAGTACTGAAGCTGAAGGGGAGGTTGGAACTAAATCACACAAGGCCTTGAAGGTTGTGTCTGGGATTTAACTTCTTATCCCCCAAAACGTACAGACATGGAAGGATTTTAAGCAGTTTAAGTGCCATAATCAGCTATGTGAGAAAATAAAGACGGCATTCTTTAAACATATAGACTTTTGGAATTTAATTGCAGGACTAGGAATATCGTGAAGTAATAATAACGTAAAATTATTGTTTTGTATGTGTTGTAGGATTTTATAAGAGGTCTATGTTTGGTGGGTGTATCATCAGATGAAATTTTAAGTGTTTGTTATGTGTTATGCAGGAGTAGAAGGTATAATTTTGTCATCATTCTTTTTTGCAGTGTTATTAATGCCAGAAGATGACAGATAAAAATGATGTCTGCATGGACACAAATCAACGTATTTCTAACTTCCTATATGCAGACATGTAAACTGCATTAATAGCTAAGTAAATGGGTTTGGATTTAAAGAATATTTTTTTTCTTGCATTGGTTTTTGACTGGAAAAATGATCTTAGGTAGGAAGGATTTATCTTTTTTTCTCATTCATGGAAGTGGTAGACTTCTAGCTGTCACGGTGGCTCATGTCTGTAATCCCAGCACTTTGGGAGGCAGAGGCAAGGGGTTTGCCTGAATCCAGGAGCTCAAGACCAGCCTGGGCAATTTGGTGAGATTTCATCTCTACAATAAATCAAAAATTTATCTGGGTATTGTGGTGTGCGCTTGTGATTCCAGCTACTTGGAAGGTTGAGGAGGAAGGATCACCTGAGCCCAGCAGATCGAGGCTGTGGTGGCTATCAACGGTGCCACTACACTCCAGCCTTGGTGACAGAGTGAGACTTGTACTCAAAAAAAAAAAAAGGTAGACTTAGTGAAAGATTTACAGGATATCAAGTAATAGATCTTACTACAAGTTCTACTACTACTGATCATGGACTAAAATTTTATCGTCAAACTCTGCACACACACCCACCCCACACAAACACATATTCCTTACACAAACCCAAGGAACTGTGTAATATTATTATCCTCTCTTTAAAATATATGGAGACTGAATTACAAATAAATTAATTACTTTGCTAAACATAGATTATTGATGATATATCCAGAATATAAAAAAAATTTGTTTCTAGAATGTTCATTCATAACTATTACATTATACTGCCTTCCGAGATGGAAATTGAAATTTTCAATTTTGGGAAAAATAATAAATCTTTCCAATAAGCATGTTATAAAAGTTATCTTGCTTACCTGCACACATATGTTTGTTGCAGCTCTATTCCCAATAGCAAAAACATGGAACCAACCATGCTGCTCATCAAAACT